GTACTTGAATCCGTCTAGGTTCAAGAGCATGTCCTGTATTTTTGGGATAGGATAAGGCTTCCGCTTAATCCTTTTGTTTAGTTCCCGGAAATCAGAGATGAATCGTACAGATCCATCCTTTTTGGGAATGATAAAAGTTGGTGCCGCCCATTCGGAACGGTTCACCTTCTTGAGTACTCCTGCTTCGCAGAGACGTTCAACCTCCATCTTAAGAGTGTTGGTATGGACACGTGGAATAGGATAAGCCCTAGCGTGATAGGGTTTAGCGTCAGGGAGGAGTTCTACTTCGTAGTCGTCCATCTGCCACTTTCCTAGAGTGCCATCGAATAGGTCAGAGTACTTCGTTAATAAGGAATGAAGCTGTTCCTGCTCTTCCTTATTCAACTGATTTTGACTTTGGCAAACCTGCCTTAAGTCAGCTTGTTCGTATTTCGCATCAAGAATCTTCTTGAGACGATTTGCACTGTCATCAACGGCAGTAGGATCAGGAATGAAGAAATTCTCTTCTTCATTGGTGTCGCTATCTTTCATAGGAATAGATATGCCGTCCCACTCCACTGACATGGTAGTGAAATCGAACTTAAATCCTAAATCAGAGAGAATGTCTCGACCTATGATCATGTCATTCGCCCCCAAGCTCTTGGTGACGTGTAAATCCCAATCGATAATTCTATCATCGTGGAATTCAGGAATCATGAATGCACCTTTGCACTTCGTGCTGGTTTTTAATTCTCCTGCAGGGGTAGTCCACATGGTTTGGACGCCCCCAAGATCCTTCATGCGTAATTTCTTAGCATGAGGTTGAGCAATCAAGGTTCCGGATGCTCCTGTATCCAGTAAGCAACGGAGTGTAACGGGTTTTGGTTTCCCTTTTTCTCGTCTGTTAAATCTAACATAGACGATAGGTTTGAGGTCTCTTGTCTTGCGACGTTTACGAGGTGGTTGGCCACGGACGAAGTTAACAATGCTAAATAGATCATCAGAGTCTAGTTGAGCAGCTTCTAGGCAATCATCTAATTTGCAGTAGAGTTCATCGGTTGCAAACAATTCTTGTTTACTAGTTAGTGAGATATCTTCATCACTTTGGTATGAGAAATCGGAACATGGTTCCGTTGAGTCATCATTCCGGCCTAATCCTCAGATAGAGATTTCTCCATCCAAGTGATTGAAATTGATAGAGGAGTTGTCCTCGTTATCAGAGTCTTCTGATTTGCACTTGGCAACATGGTTGCGAAGTTTGCAGGTGGTTGCACGAGTATCATCGATCTCGGTGTCTTCGTCATTGTCGACGAGAGGAAGAATGGGTTTGTCACACAACTGTTTCTCGAGGTTGCTGAACCCATGCTTTCCTTGAGCAATCTTCATGGTGAAGGAATAGGTTGAGGGTAGCTGAAAGCTATTGTGTTTGTTAACAAAATGCACTACGCTAAAAGCTAGTGTAAAGATCTTTCGAGTGTTTTGTGTTTGAGAGAATGAAAGTTATGAGAGAGATTAGAAAGCTATGAAAACTAATCAACGAGAGAGATCACCATTAAAGGATCGTAGATCTGGCTTCCCGTGGGAGACTATAAAGTGTGATAGAGTAGGTTGCGGTAGTAATCTTACATATCTCCACGATCCTAAAACGGAACGCGTGGAAGATTCGTATAGCATGGATCTAGTAGCGTGGAAGTACTCCACGTTGGCTAAATATCTAGAGCGATGTTTCATCATCAACCTAGTATGACTAGAGGGGTCATTGAGAACCCTGTCTCAAATGACTATTCACGAGAGACTCAGTCATGAGTCAAACTCAAACCCTATCTAGGATCGAGTCGCGAATAAGGCTAAGAGCCGTGTATTGCATTGCCCATGGGAAGCACTAGCTAGAAATTGAGAACAGAAGCCAAAGGCAAACTAGCAAGTACAGTGTACAGTAGCTAATAGCGTAAGGATTCTTCCAGACTTTGTTTTGAAGCTTCTAGGCATACAACGCGTAACCCAATCTCTGATGGCAACTTACTATATAGTCACTGTTTGCATCACCCAATACTGAGAACCATCCACTATGAGCTTCACCTAGTTAGTTCTCATGCCATATATACATGTCTTTTTAGCTATCTAGACTCTTGCTTTGGGGACCTGGGACTTGTTATGTGTGCACTCAAGGTGGTTTGATAATTGTGGACGGAAAGTAGTCTACGTTTAAAAGACGCTTATTTATTTATTTAGACAGACCAAACCACTACTGGTACTGGTACACGTGGGGCCAGCAATCTTACCCAGAGCGTCAGTGCAGCTGGACATCTGTGGAAACGTCAATCGTGGCAAAATACTTACGAGATGACACACCGAGGCTTATGAGACGATCGAAATGATTATAGAGACGAAAGCAATCGTCTCCTATATTTAACAGTCGATTCATAAGGCTTCATTCCATTTAGGAGATGAGCGTTTCGAAATAGGAGATGATCCGAAAGCTTAAGGAGATGATACCATACAGTTTACATTGTGTACTTAAGAGATGATCCGTTGAGAATAGTTGAAAAGTTGAAAATAGGAGACGATCTAAGAGGAGACGAAAGCTTTAAGAGACAATCCGTTTCGTCTCCTATTTTTAGGAGAAGAAATCCATTAAATAGGAGACGATCAAAAGGATTTAAAAGCCGATCGGTAGCACAACTCGAGTTTCCACAGAGGTCCTGGTAGACCAGCCTGTTTGACACTTATGATGGCGCTTGTTCTTGGCAGCCCTTTCCTTGCTCTTTTCTACCAGCTAGAGTGGAAGGACAGTGTTGTTGCTGCTGTGCCTCACTTATGCATAGTTTTGAGGATGTATTAGCGTAATCTGTATGTAACATACTTCTAGTAGTATTGTTCTACCACTGCATTTATTTATAGAATCACTAGCTATCGTCCCAACATGTGAGAAGGAAACCATAGAACGCTCTACCGCGTTCCTGATTGTCTGTGGTGATGAGACTTGGTTCTTGTTTGACAATCATCAATTCATACGTTATTGCTGCATATATGTAGTCTAGTGTATCAATAGTAATGCCGGTATTATACAGACAGAATTTGACTTCATCTGGTAAGGAGGCTAAATAGACTACTCAATACATGTAGGTCTCCTGTTACGCACCGGCACCTGGTACCGGTACTGCAAGAGCTCTCGTCGCGGCGCTTCAAGCGTTCCACCTCGGCTTGGAAGGCTTCTTCGGCAGGAGTGACGCTTTGGTAGCACACCAAAGTCCCTTGCTTACTATGTCATAGTAATTTCCTGCTCATGCTGGAAGGCTTTGACTTCCTCTTCAGAATGGGGAGAAACAGTAGGACTGTCGTCGTTCTTGTCTTGAAGAATGGCTTCGACTTCGACTTCCCGGGCAGGAGCCACGTCTCATACCAATCATGGTTGCCTGTTCGGTGCTGGAGTACATCGTAGCACGGTAGTCTAGCTAGCACGGTCGAGTACTACTAGCTCGTAGTAAGCGTTACGGTGGTCCGAGTGCCGTCCAGTAGACACCGCCAGCTTTTTGAAACACTGATTGATTTTTGAAACACCGATTGGTTTCTGAAACACCCATTGGTTTCTGAAACCGATTTTTGAAACACCTATTGGTTTCTGAAACACCGATTGGTTTTGAACACGGATTGAACGCCGATTGGTTTCTGAAACTACCGATTGGTTTTTGAAACACCGATTGGTTTCTGAAACGCCGATTGTTTGACTGGTTTTGAAACACCTATTGGTTTCTGAAACACCAGATTGGTTTTTGAAACACGGATTGAACGCCGATTGGTTTTTGAAACACCCATTGGTTTCTGAAACACCTATTGGTTTCTGAAACACCAATTGGTTTTTGAAACACAACTTCGACTGCCGCCAAAGGAAGAATCGAATCTACTGTACAAAACCAAGCTGGCTAGACTAATGTACCAGTAGAATGCTGCAACTCCAAGAGCAGAGTACCGGTACTCGGTACCTACTAGCTAGTACACTGTAGCTGTCGAAGTACAGTACTACTGTAGTATGCACCAGGTCAGGTATTCGGAGTCGACAGTCAAATAAATAAATAAATAAATGTGCAGCAGAAGCAGAAAGGCTTCATGTCGTGGAAGGTTCAAATGGATTAGATAGCTTTGAGGCTGCGGGGACCGGAGAGAAAAGACGCAGCACCCAGGTTCCAACGTTCCAACGCGTGCCACAGAGCAGCTGAAACGCTGAAACACCACATTGATTTCCGCCCTGCTTCGAACCTTCGCAGCTACATGTACATGTGCCATGTACGTGTATCTGGTCATTTATTTGTTCCGAGTTCGGCCGAGTCAAAAGTCTACAGGTCTCTGGTCTCTCGTGTTGACATTCCAACGTTTATGGCAAAAGCCTTAGAAAAAGTATCTTGTGTGGACTTTCCGATTTTAAATTCAAGTTCAGAGTCCAAAGTCCAAAGATGTACTGTACTTGCTAGCTAGCTAGCTAGCTAGAGTAACAGCTTCAGCTCCACAATTAATGATCATTGCTTGCCACGGGCTGGGCTTGTGGACTGTAAAAGAATGGTTGGGAAACTGTCTGGAATCGCTCGGGAAATGACTTGAAAATGTCCCAATTCTATTCTTGGTTGCCAAACCAAACTGTCAACGGTTGGCCTTTCATTGAAGTTGGTCTCCCGCGGGAGGCCTCGAAGTGTGATATCGTAGATTGTGGCAGGGAATCTACGTATTCCACGGTCCAATTCCATTTCCGGAACGCGTGGAAACTTCAGCTAGTAGCTTTCTAGTAGCGTGGAAGCTTTCATCGACAACAAAGCAAGCCAAAGATATGAAAGATATTCATTACTCCCTGCCTTTGACAAGACTCTCATAAATTCAAGCCATCAACAACAGGCAACCAAGCAACCAAGCAACCGAGCAACCAGAAGCAACTGCGAAGGATATCTTTTTCGCCATCAGCCATCATCAAGCCATCAACTGCAAGCAACCATCAAGCAACCGATCAAGCAACCAAGTATCCAGAAGCAACCATGGGCAACTCTTTCTCCTCCTTTCGTGCCACTGAAGCCAGTGGTCAAGCAAGCGTCACTCGTCGTGATCAAGACAAAGAAGCCGTCTTGACATTGTGGTCTGCTGTTCTTGGGCTTAACCCAAGCCCAGAGGTTCTTGTTCTTTTCCCTCTGCTCTGTGTTTTCATGGGTCATCTCTTTGGCTCTGCACTTGTGTGGAGTTTGATCACGGCTCTTCTTTGTGTTGGTTTTCTTTGTCTTGGTGTTCCTTTTGTTCTCGCCACCAACCTATGCTCACATGTCATTGCACAAGGCCAAGTCACTCGTCGTGCTCCCCCGCCTCGCCAAGAGAACTATGTGGAGGAACTCTCTGAAGACCTAGTCCGAGCCTTCCAGCGTGATGTTCTCCAAGACAAGGAGCGCTGCCAGGCAATCGATGCCATGGAGAAATTTCGCCGCCAAGAAGCCGGGATGCCTGGTTTCCTCTGTCATCAAGACCTTCTTTCTAAAGAGGACGTCGAAGTCTGGTACAAGGCAGCAGACCACATGAAGCCAGCTGAAGCCTCCCTACGTGGCAGCCGTACCAACTTTTCTGAAGAGAAAGTCCCAAGCCCAGAAGTGGAGATCAAGCCAGCGGAGAAACAGCGTCCTCAAGATGCCATGATGCGTGATACTCTTCCTCCACGTGCAGAAGACGACAAGAGCCAGCGGGAACAGCGTCGCCAAGAAGCCCGCACGATCAAGACAGCAGAAGATGACGAGAAGATCAATGGTGCTCGTGCCGACAGTGACGATTTGATGGACAAAGAAGACCTTTCTGAAGAGGAACGCTACGAACAGGCAACCAAGCGCTATGAGACCGAGATGAAACGACTCTCTGCAGCAGACGCCAAGTGCCGGCGTCGCTATGACGCCGAGATGAAACGCATCGGGGCGGCATACAAGGAAATTGAGCGTTCTGGCGAACCAAATGACGACCGCTATGGGCCTCTCCGTCTTCAGGAACACAAAGCCAAGGATGAATACACCAAGATCCAAAACCACCTCACGTTATCAGTCACCAAGGCCTGTGGCGAGTTGTGCGAAGCAGCCCATCGCATCTGTCGCATCCCTGCTGCTGAGTTGGAGGAGTCACGTCGCAACAGTGATGCCCGTGTTGCTGCCCGTGATGCTGAGTTGGAGGAGTTGCATCGCAACCATGATGCCCGTGTTGCTGCCCATGATGCTGAGATGGAGGAGTTGCGTCGCAACCATGATGCCCGTGCTGCTGCCCGTGATGCTGAGTTGGAGGAGTTGCGTCGCAACCATGATGCCCGTGCTGCTGCCCGTGATGCTGAGATGGAGGAGTTGCGTCGCAACCACGATGCCCGTGCTGCTGCCCGTGATGCTGAGATGGAGGAGTTGCGTCGCAACCATGATGCCCGTGCTGACGCGTGGATTACAGGAGTCAGCTCAGGAGTTCATGGTGGCACATGGCCTGGAGAACAACGCAGCCGTGTAGGAGCTTGATCATGCGGGATTCCCTCAATAAGCCTAAATGCAGCCTCGTCCACCCACGACGGTTCGGTCTTGCACTAGAACTTGATGATTGATTGGCTGGGTTGATCATTCATACCGTATCGTCCGTCCTGGGTCAACACTTCCCCTTAGTTTGGGTTTCTTTGATCTCAGTAAACTATTTATTTGCAACGTATAAAAGTCACTTATTCAAGTGGCTACTACCGGTAGCTAGCAAGCTAGAGATGAAGTCGGAACAAAGTGCCTAATAGCTAGATGTAGATGTAGATGTAGTTGATATCGTTGACTTTCCAGACAGGTATACACATGTCTTTTTAGCTATCTAGACTCTTGTTACCATACTAGGCACAGACACACTGACTACAGGAGCACTCGACTGGAAATGGAGAGGGGGAGCAATCCACCCAAATGGCTTCAAGATTGGGGATTGAGCAAATGTTGGATGGAATCCCATCTTGCAAGCGATTGTCCGACACACTCAAGACGGACAAATTGGAAAGCATGGCGATCTCAGCAGGCACCTGCCCAGAGAGCTCATTCTCATACAACCGTACGTACTTGAGAGCTTTCATTTGTCCTGCTTCCGACGGGATTTCACCTGTCAAGTTGTTGTCAAACAGCCACAGAGACTCCAACATAGTCGAGAGCATTCCTAGTTCGGTGGGGATTGTGGAACCAAGTTGGTTCTGATTGAGCCACAACCCAGTCAAGCTTGTCAACAAGCCAAGTTCCGAGGGAAGGGGGCCTGTGAGTTGGGCATTGGACAAACCCAAATGTGTCAGGGATGTCAGCAAGCCAATCTCGGTGGACGGAATCGTTCCTGGTGAAAAGGGATTGCTGCTCAAACTCAACATGGTCAAATCGGTCAGCGTTGCCAATGCTGCTGCAGGAATCGTTCCTGTGAGCTCGTTCATGTACAGGTTCAAAGCATACAGCGAGGTTAGTAGACCGATCTCTGATGGCAACTGCCCCGTCAGCTGGTTGTCTTCAAGAAATGCAAAGGTCAAGCCAGTCAAACGACCAATCTCTGTCGGAATGGAACCACCAATGCCTTGACCGGACAAACTCAATACTTCCGTGCTGGCAACCTCGTAGTCGGTTCCAAAGATTTGAACTACTTCCATAGTGGTGGGAGCAACAGATGGGCTGCTGGTGGTTGGAGCTGCTGTGGGCTGTGCAGTAGGAGCCTGAGTGGAGGGTTCCGGCGTGGGCGTACTAGTAGGTGTGTCAGTATCGGTAGGAGGAAGACTGGGCGCATTGGTGGGTGAGAAGGTTGGTTTGGCAGTGGGATCATTTGTAGGGCTTGCAGTGGATGGACTGGAGGTTGGCAGGCTGGTTTCAGGTGCAGTGCTACTAGTGATGGAGATGGTGGGAGACAAGGTGTTTAGTTTCATGGTGGGGGGACTCGTTGGTGCTGCAGTTTCGCCAGTACCAGCGTTGCCAGTGTCATTGTCATTGTCATTGGTACCGGCACTGCTAGTAATAGTACTATTGATATTGATATTGACATTGGCATTGACATTGCTATTCATGTCCACCTGATCCTGATCATGATGATCAGTACCGGTGCTGCTGGTATCCGAGGAGTCCGCAGTAGTACCGGTAGAAGGCACAATGGTGTTCCAATTTTCAATGTCAGATGAAACAAAGACTGAAGGCGCCTCTGTGGTCGAAAGTGCCATTTCTTCCCCTCCTGATCCTTCCACAGTGCCCACATTACCTGAATCGATGTTCATGGTTGCACCAACGATAACTGCCACGACAACCGCACTGAGGATCACCGCCAGCACGGGGAAAATCCATTCCTGTTTGGTCTTATGCTGCGTGCGGCTATTACCGACACCACCCGAAGACACAGTGGCCTTGGTCATGCTGCTCATATCATCGCCTCCTGGATTCCTCATGGTTGCTTTGCTGCTTGTTGCTTGCTACTTGCTTGCTCACTTTTGAAAGAAAGAATGAAAGAATGAATGAAGTTTACGATGCTCGATAAAAGTTTCAAGGAAAAAGAGCCTTCAGAAAATTGTGAGCTTCGAAAAGATCTAGCGAGATAGAGCCTTCTCGTCATTGGATCATTCCGGTAGATACAATGTGGACGTAACCATGGTGGAACCTGTCCATCTTCTGATCACTGTGCGGCAGCAAGTTGGGAACTGCTGTCCTGGTTTCGGACAGTGCTGCACTTGTGGTGATAGTGGTATCCATAAATAAACTGACAGAGCTGTCAAACAGTGCAATTGGGACTATCCGGCAGGCCTTTACCGCAGGATTTGTGCAAGCGGCCAGCCAACACTAGCTAGCTAGCTAGAACACCGCTAGCTACTAGCCATCAGCTAGCATGCACGGCCCCAGCCTAGCAATGCCTACATCGCAAAACGATTAGGGATTGAACCTGTACCTCTGTACTAGAATTTCACAGTAGAAATACAGATACAGAGCCCACCCTAGTATCTCAATAGCAAGTAAACTAGAAGAGAGCTTAGAGCAACTAACATACTACTGAAAAAGTACTGCTATCGTCGACAATAGCAGTGGTCGTTGCAACGAAGAGAAGAGGAGCCTACCGAAGCATCGAAGCCAATCGGCAGGAAGAACGTGAGAAGACCGATACAGCACACAGCACCAGGAGAGCAACAAGAGAAGACTGTCGAAGGATCGAAAGCACCGGAGAGAAGGATCCGAGAGAAGTTTCGACGGCAACGACGCCAGTAAGGATCGTCGTGCCGAGAGCAAGAGTTTCGTCGGTAGAATCCACAAGGATTACCAGCAAGGTTGCTTGGCGAGGAGAAAGCCAACAACAGCGCGAAAGCCATAGTGCCAGCGCAGGGACCAAGGACAGGTACCCAACCAAGGAAACAATCAGCAAGGAAACGGGTTTGGAAAGGCCGCGACCGCACAGTGTGTGAAGCAATCGGGCCCTCCCTTGCAAGATCCTTAGCAATAGTTTTAACACTCCCTAGCCAGGAGTATAATTTGAAGTTTATCGCCCCATAGCCAGAAGACGAATAAGTAGTTGGATGAGAACTTAAAATAAAGAGCTAGCCAAATAAAAAAGAAAGAATTGAAATAGTCCACCTACCGTAGCACAGAAAATGATCGGTAGAGGTAGAGGAAGGAGTGGCCGAGGCAGCAGAGGACAAGGAGGGCATGGAAGATCCAGCCCATTGTCTTTGAACCAACAAAAAGGTTCATGCAAAGCCCTAGAACAACATGTGTTCAATTTTGGTGCAACTGGATCTGGAATGGCAGACCAGATGATAGGAACATGGGAGAAGATCACCATCCCAAACACCTTCATCCAGACACGAGTCCAGGATGAAAAAGATATGGTAATCATTAGAGTAAGAGGAGTACTAGTAGACATGCTGTGTGAAATTGCCCCAGATGTCTACAAACAGATCATGACAATGGATAAGAAAGGCAACAAGCAGTTGCTACTGCAATGCTTGAATGCCATCTATGGTACCATGGTAGCTAGCCTACGATACTACCGTAAGTTCCAGAAGACGATGCTCCGGAACGGATTTAAGATTAATCCTTACGACCCATGTGTAGCCAACAGAATGGTACATGGCAAGCAACAGACAGTTTGCTGGCATGTAGATGACTGTAAGCTTAGCCACAAGGACTCGAAGGTTAATGACCAGCTGATCCAAGTGCTTCGTGATGAATACGAAAGCATATTCGAGGATGGCACTGGAGAGATGACAGTGAGCGGCGGAAAGGTTCACACATATCTCGGCATGACCATAGACTTCACGTCGAAGGGTCAATGCAATGTATCAATGTACAAGTACATTGATGAAATCCTGGAAGCCTTTGAGAAGGCATCGCCAGAGGAAGGGGGCATGAAGACTAGAAGTAGTGCAGCCCCGAAAGACCTATTCACAGTAGACGAATCCTGCAAGAAGCTCCCAACGAGCAAGGCAGACACCTTTCACAGCCTGGTGGCTAAGGTGTTGTTTGCTACAAATGGGACAGTTTGCCTACATTGGAGCCACCAACAAGAAGCTCAACCACCTCTACAAGGCATACTGCAACAATGTCAGCAATCCTCCCAAGGTCCGCATTGGTGACTTGAACAATTTGCGCATGGACTGGGATCTCCGAAATCCTGAAATGGTTGCATTTTAAACGATGTCCATGGAACGAAAAAACTTGTCAAAATGCTGCATGTCATTTACAGATTCTCAAATGGCTGCGCGAGAATGAGTGTCCTTGGGATGCAGCGACTTGTGCTCAGGCTGCCAAAGGAGGGCACCTGGATATCTTGCAATGGGCTAGAGAGAACGGATGCCCTTGGGATGAAGAGACTTGTGCTAAGGCTGCCGATGGAGGACACCTGGATATCTTGCAATGGGCTAGAGAGAATGGATGCCCATGGACTGTCAGCACATGTGCATCCACTGCTGGTGGGGGACATCTAACAGTTCTTAAATGGGCTCGTGAGAATGGGTGCCCATGGGATCAAAGAACATGCTCTGCAGCTGCTATGTATGGTCGTCTCGATACCCTGGAATATGCTCATGAAAACGATTCTCCTTGGAGTGAATGGACCTGTGCTCTTGCCGCTAGGTTCGGGCAGCTCAATACCTTGCAGTATGCGCATGAAAATGGGTGTCCTTGGGATGAAGAAACCTGTGATGTTGCAGCTGAATGTGGCCATCTCGATACCCTAAAGTACGCTCATGAAAATGGGTGTCCTTGGACTGCTAACGCCTACTAGTATGCTCGAGCTTGCAGTTGGAATGATGATGTCTTGGAGTATCTCCGAACCAATGGATGTCCAAGGCCCCGGAATCGAGGTCGCAACTCCTCATAATAATGTAGAAACCACGTTTTATCCGAATAGCTTGCTACACTAGCTATTATCATTATTTGTAGGATTTGGGAGCTCAACTTGTCATCATCACAAGTTCGCACAACATTAAGTTGGTTGGGCAATCTCTGCCAATGCGTCACCTTTAAGAGCTTTCACTCGGTGTGCTCCTGTCATGCATTTGAGCTTTCGGAAACTAGATGATTCCATTTGATTCGGTCTATTGGATTGGACTCCTTATTACTTACTAACTAACCACCACTCCACTCAACAAGCAGAACGAGAGAATGAAAGGATGAGAGCAAGCCCTAGCTACCCCGGGACAGAACACAAGAACATGATTTTTAAAAATCAAAGCTATTGCATAATATGTATGTGTTGAGGCTCACATGTCCCTGTGCAGAGAGAGCCTGAAATGCAATCTATTTTAGTATGTACATAGTCTCCTGCGGCGTGTTCTAGCCAGTTCATGGGAGAATTTACAAAATTGATGTATACTAGAACTACGAGGAGCGAGGAGGCGCCTTGGGATGTTGCTGTTGACCTTGCTGCTGATGGCTATAGTGCTTGAAGCGTTCTTCTTGTCGTGCGCGGGTGGATCCTTTCACCTTGTTTCGTTTCATCCCAGTGCTGAGCATGGGCTGATCCTTGAGGAAGAGTTCATGCCAGTAGGCTCCCTTTTCGGGTCCTTCGGAGATGCGCTGAAAGTCGTACAGATTCAGCTGTCGTTGGAAACTGCTGAATGTGCTCATTCGAAAGTAATGGGGCAAGACCTCTCTGTGGGTCGCAAACAGAATCGGAGGAGTGTGTAAGTATACGGTATGCACGCGTACAAAAGATCACCAGAAGCAGTCAATGCTGGATCCGAACACGTACCGTGAGAACTCTTTGGGTTTGAATATCTGAAAGCTTCGTCCATGTGGCAGGAATGCGGCGATCTCTGTGCCACCTTGTTTCTTTTCGAGGTCCAAGAGCATCTGATGCAGTTTGAGAGGAAAGGTTGAGCTTCGACCGCGTCCCTTCCATGCGGTTTCCGGCGGTAGGACTTGAGGTGTTGCTCCCTGGATCGTGGTGTCGATCGGCGCCGTGTTGGTAGCCATAAAGCTGGGGAGCTGTCCGGGTTCGGGGTACGGCTGACCTGCGGGAGCCATTTCTTGCAGTTGGAGTCGTTGCTGCAGTTCGTTCTGAAGAGATTGCTGATCCAACTCGAGTTGACGCCTCTGTTGCTCTTGGAGTTGGAGTTGGAGTTGCAAAGAATGCTGCTCGAGTTGAGCTTGCATACTACTGGGGTGCTGATGCGACGACGACGACGATGCTTGCAGAGGACTGTCAAACAATGGGTTGCTGC